ACTGTAGGGGCGATATGCTGACTCTGTAAACCGCTTAGAGAGGGCTGAAAGCCCTATGAAGCGGTATATAAGTCTAACTGCTATTGCTATTGCTAGTTATGTTATGTTGTGTTGTGTTGTGTTGTGTTGTGTTCCGAACCCAAGGAATCACTCCAGGACCAGAAATACAATTCTGCATGCAACATCCCTTCATAGTCAGTGTCCTATTTCTATGGCTTGATAGGTTGTGACATATGCTCAACACTCAATGGGGCATGTTTTGAAGTCAGAGCAGGTGCAGTTAATTAGCTTTTTTGTATCAGTGTCACATTTGTTAATATCATCCTCTCAACAGTCACCTTTGGATTGGATCCCAGCTAAATCTCTCCCTTCTCTGTGTTTCGTGGCCCAGTTTAGGAGCTGTGTCAGATGTGGCAGCTGCTGGGGTCATTGGAACGGGCACTCACAACACTGGCTTCAGCCACGGCATCTTGGCCACTCAGGTAAGACCCCTGGGTTGTAACTGGCGGGGTGTAAAAATTTCCTAGCCATTATGCCTCACGAGCAAGTTATTAGAATGCTAATTATGTCAGCTTTTATTCCCCAGTGGGAGAAAATAAATGAGAATAATGTAGAATTAGTCCCTTTGTATGCAAGGCACCATGGCAGAGCAGTTATTCAAAAGACAGTGCCTGCCTAGAGTTCAGAAGCCTAGTGGATCCTTGGCTGGGATATCCCAGGGCTATAGACTAAATTGGGAAGCAGAAAAACATCCTGTGAAATATATTAGCAAAGTACTTCCTTTATTATTGCCCCAAACACTACAGACAAAGGTTCCATGAGGTCACTGATTTGAGTTGGAAGAGAATTTTCCTTGCACGTTAAGAATCTGGCAAATAGTCATGTGCTGTTCACACAGTGTACTTACTACCTCCTCCCACCTCACCTTTCACTCTAGATAACTTTGGAAGGAATTGTTTGGGCCCAAAACTTTCCCTTTATGTTCCAACGCTGTGGCAGACTTTAGGTTTAGGTTTAGGTTTCGTTTTATTTATATGCCATCCTATTCCCAGCGGGACTCAGGGCGGCTCACAAACCCAAGAGGGGAAAGGAAACACAAGAACTACAAATACAAGCATTTAAAATAACCAACAGACACACAATCGAGAGGGGAAGGGGAACTCATCAACCCCAGGCCTGCCGACACAGCCAGGTTTTAACGGCTTTTCGGAAGGCCTGGAGAGAGGTGAGGGTCCGAGTTCCCTAGACTTTGCTAACATACGTGGTCTCTGAACTGGATCCAGATCACCTTTGTCTTCCAGTTCAGAAGAAGTGCAAGAATCTTCCCAAGCTGGCAACTCATATAGAGCAACTCACATGGATATCTGATCCAAAAGTTGTGATTGGTGGGGTGGAGGCAATTAATTCTTTTAATGAACTTCTCCATCTTCATGCTTCTAAAAATAGTATGTATTTATTTATTTATTTATTTAGCCAACAAATTTGTCACAAGAGACATTGTTTTTACATTATTTCTTTCTTAAAAATAATAGGCGAGGGGAAAGCCCCTATAAAGTCGGTAATATGACAAGGGGAAAGAAAATAAACCAGATGGTAGTGTGACAGAAAGTAAGACTTTTAAAAGCTTTTCCTCGATTGAGGTGACAGAAAATGCATTGAAGCAATAAGGTTTTTTAAAAGCCACTTGTCTCGCTTCTAAATGCTTGCGGTGAATGTTTGCATATCTAAATTGGCACAGAACTGACATATTGTATGGCACTTCGTAGATCGGCCCCCAAATTAATCAACAGGAACCAATAACATACTGAAGAAGGCAGGCTCAGCCAAGGACTTCTCAGAATTGTTTCTGTTGAAAAACAATAAAAGCGAGTGAGGAGCAAAAGGGCTGCCTCCTGAACTCCAGCAGTCAAAATTGTCTGTGAGGTTTGAGAGTTCAGCTTAGTTATTTTTTTGCCCCTGGTTCAGCTGCCATTTAATTGCAGCTGGAGCAGAAGTGCAATTTTCCTCAGAGGTGTTGTCCTAATGCAGTGTTTCTCAACCTTGGCAACTTGAAGATGTCCGGACTTCAACTCTCAGAATTCCCCAGCCAGCATTCGCTAATGCCTGTTTTCTCCCCTATACTCAAGTAGACCTCACAACCCTACATTTCAGCAATCTGTTCCTGAGCTTATTGGCCCCTTTTCTCTACTTCAGTCACAGTAGCATCCTACAAACGGTGGTTATGGTTACTGAGAAAAGGGCCTGGTGTTGCACGAGTTGCCAGCATAATCACCAACACAGTTCACGGGGGCCATAAAATGCAGTGGAGGAAAGGGAACTTAGGGGCTTCACAGCCATTTCCATTAGCCATTATTCTGATGTTATGGGAGGCAAATGTATGGAGAAGCTGCATGGATGATCTCATTGCTTAATGCCTTTTTCCGTGGAATGTGGGCAATTTTTGTAACTCCAGGATCTCTAGTGGATCAGGGGAAGTGGTATGATCTAAATACTGATGTCAGGGTTCCAAGTAACACCCCTAACAGAAGAAGACGCCGAGACTTGAGTTTCCTCAAAGTTCCATTTTCTTAGAGATGTCATATTGGCACATCTGGGAAAACCCGAATCTGAAGGCTTCAAGGTTTTCCCTACCCAAATGAAAGTTCAAGTCTCTACCTAGCACCCACATGTCCATCACATGGTCCAATCAGGTACCATCCAAAACTGGAGATGCCCCCCAGTCACACCATCCCATCTGCAGGGCAAGACGTCCTTGACTCTCTGAGAAAAGAATGTTATTTTGACTACATCTCACCCACACTCCATATAATCCACCCTCCCGTTTTCCCGCAGCAGAAAAATGTGGCAGGCCTAAAGGCCCAATGTAAAAGATGGCCTTCAGGTCTGACAACTGGTTGTTGTTGTTGTTGTTGTTGTTGTTGTTGTTGTTGCACTCTCTTACTGATCAGCTTTGGCCTGCTTTGGTGAGATTGGAGGCAGAGATTGAAACAATGGGAATATAAAAGGATCCCAAATGGGAATACAGAGGCTTTATTAGCAAAAACAAAGGTGGTATTTCTAGGGGTTGACTGGCATTTTTATTTCCCATAAGTTTTTTTGAGAATGGCACCGTGAGAGGCCAACCTTTGCCCTATTCCCAGTCTTCTGCCCTTTGAGGCGAGCAGACTCAGGAAACAAGAATGAGTTGGATCAGAAGCAACCTAGAACTAAGGAGGAATTTCCTGACAGTGAGAACAATAAACCAATGGAATAACTTGCCTTCGAAAGTTATGAGTGCTCAACCACTGGAGGCCTTTAAGAAGAGGCTGGACAGACATTTGTCTGAAATGATGTAGGGTCTCCTGCTTGAACAGGGGATTGGACTAGAAGACCTCCAAAGTCCTTCCAGGTTTGATGTTCTATGTTCTGCAAAGATCTTTACTGCAAGTAGAGTGCAATGACATAAATCTTGAAAGCCTACTAATCCAGCTCAATTTATATCTAGCATAACTACAGGACTGCTGCGTGTATGTGCGGACGGGCGCGCTCACATTTCCAATGCTGGACGAGCCGGTTGTTTTCATTCAGGAATCTGACAGTCCATGGATAAAAACTGTTCTTCAGCCTGTTTGTGCGAGGCTGCCTATGCTTCTATATCTCCTTCCAGATGGTAGGAGAATAAAGAAGGACTGACCAGGGTGTGAGTTGTCCCTGAGGATTTTCCTCACTCTTCTAAGCCAGCGAGCCCTAGCAATATCATCTAATAGTATCAGGGGACAGCCCACGATGTTCTGTGCTGTGCTCACAACCCTCTGTAGTGTCTTTCTATCTGCAGCTGTCAAGCCAGCACACCACACCGTAATTCTCATCCACTCTGCTAAAAAGAAAAACCCACAATTCCATTCTAAAGCTGATGCAGTAAACAGGAAAATATGTCTCTAGGTAGATGTGGGATGCATTGTGTAACTCATTCCTGAAAAGGCAACCTCCACTTTGACTTGCAGTTGTGGTGTGGGAGGAAATACCAACAAAGATTATGAAGATTTTATTGAATTATGAAGAATGTTTCTATCCTTGAGCTGTCAGACTTTTAAATACAACCACAATCACTCCATGCGCAGGCTAGTTTTTTTTCTTTTTCTTTCTTTTTTCGTTTCTGCTATAATTTTGCACCCGTGAGGTTAAAACCAATTTCGTTGTATTTACCGTATTTTTGGAGTATAAGACGCACCGGAGTATAAGATGCACCAAGGTTTTGAAGAGGCTTTTTTTAAAAAAAAGTAGGTAGATAGAGGGATAGAGAAGGAGAGAAAGANGCGCATGTTCATGTGGTGGACACCTGGCCCCGTTGCACTGTAACGGTTGCAATGGGATCCGGAACTCACCACTGGAGTCAAGCTATTCTCCAAAGCACCTGAGGGTAGGACAAGAAGCAATGTGTGGAAACTAATCAAGGAGAGAAGCAACTTAGAACGGAGGAGAAATTTCCTGACAGTTAGAACAATTAATCAGTGGAACAGCTTGCCTCCTGAAGTTGTGAATGCTCCAAAACTGGAAGTCTTTAAGAAGATGTTGGATAGCCATTTGTCTGAAATGATATAGGGTTTCCTGCCTAGGCAGGGGGTTGGACTAGAAGATCTCCAAGGTCCCTTCCAACTCTATTATTCTATTCTATACATATCATGCCAAACCATTTTTTAAATTAAGTCTGATTATCAAAGATCCAGTAAGGTAAAATTCTCTTTATCATGTTAATCGATCAATCACGTTTGAAGATCACAGTGCCAATTTTATATGATTACTCAAAGAGTTTTGGTGCTTTGACTCTGGTTCTGTATTTAAAACTCCTTGTGCCCACTTTGAAAATAATTCCAAAGAAACAAGCACAGCACCCCTTTACAACTTATTACAGCATGAATATTTTTTTTAAAAAAAAACTTCTATGCAGGCTTGAAAAAGATGCTGCTGCCTTAGAATCAAATATTTAGTATTTAATCCTTGTGGGATGTCTGATGCATTTCTTCCCAATGATGCTTGGCCCATGTGCAGACATAATCAGTCCTGATCGCATATTTCCTCCAGGGCTGCTTCTTTGATTAACACAACAATGTATTATCCCTCGCAGGTGGACAAAGAGAAGCAGCAAGTGACAGTAGAGGCAGGGATTTTGCTCTCTCATCTGAACGTGGAGCTGAGCAAACATGGCTTAGCTCTACCTATGTAAGTAAACCTTCACTGAGATGGTAGGCACATCCCTCGCTGAAACAAACAAAATGTTTAAAAAGTTATGATATTTATGCAGTTACTTACCCAAGGACATCTAACATTATACTAAAGTAACCAAAATATATTTTCAATCCCCAAAGGCGTGTCACAATTTTTGAGGACCCCAGATGCTCGAAAATTGAAAATTGAAAAATTTGACACACCCTATAAAAATGCTCAGAGGGTTGTGAGCAGAGGTGGTATTCAGGCAGTTCCGACTGGTTTGCCTGAATTGGTA